GCCCAGCACATCTCATATGCATTCTCTGATATCTTTAAGGTGTTTTGGGGGATCCTTTCAATAGAGAACATATGAACAAAATACAGAAAAAAGCCTGTAAGACAAAATACAAGAACACATGAGAATGGGAAAGCTGATGGAGTCAGCTTTAGGGTTGACCTTGTTTGGGTTTGTTTGGTTTTTTTTAACTGCAGGAAGATAACTGAGATGAGAAATGAACAAATCTGAAAGCTATACTAAAAAACAAGTACCAAATAAAATGAATGTTTCATAAATTTCAAATTTACAAGGGTCTCAATAATCTATGCAGGTTTATATTTTATTTGCAGGCATGATGTAAAAGGGATTTAAGTCCTTTAAAGGAGGTTTTGATTCCCTAGAATGCTTATTCTGTATGTATTCTGCCAATGGGTGTGCATACACACAGTAGAAGATACATTAGACTGGCAGAGTGAAAATCAGATTTTAAATACATTTCTATTTTGTTGAGAACAGACCAGACAAGAGAAGAATTTTAAACAGACAAGACCATCTTCTTCTAAATACTAATTAGTTGGTTACTTATTAAAAATTCTTTTGAGCATATACAGTTTGGGAATTTCTAATATATAGTACAGAAAAAAAAATCTTTTGATTTGCTAGAGAGCGTTGCACCCCACACTTTTGAATAGTACCACCTAGGTGACTGTCCTTGCCTCTGAATATAAAAAGATATGCATTGAGAACTGACAAAGAAGGTATTCCTGACTTTTAACATTTAGAGAATATTTTTACGTTTATTTTAATAACTCGACGGTTGTTTAAAAGCAAAATCACGTACAAGATTTTAGTGTCACTTTCTATGCTTTTTCATCTGCTTTTAAATACTTGAAACTTTTAAAACGTTTTCCTTTCTGAAAGATTTTTTTTGCAGAAAGTTAGCCAAAGAGCTGTATTTCTGGAGAATAGGGGGAGAATCTATTTATTATTTTGCATAGATTTATAAAAAGAAAAAAATTGCTGAATGAATCAGACTTCTTGCCATATACAATTCAGAAAACCCCTTATATACATGGAATTCAAGTTATTTGTCTGAATAGTCAAAAGGTGTCTTAAATCTGATTTTTTTTGTTATTCTATAGGTTGTAACCTCTAGGGAAGTAGAAAAATATTTAAAATAATGACAAGCAACAGAAAATCAGGTATGAAGTATAAAATGTGTCCACCTTAATTGAAATAATAACTGATTACAAGACAGTGGGAAAATAAGCTCAGAAACTATTACAAAAGGAACTTAAATAAAATTCAGGGATTGTAATTACGTATAATTATTTTTATAATAGCCATGTCACCTTTTCTGAGTCTGTATCATTAACTGCACTCTGTTGGAAATACATATGTGTGCTAAAAACCTGAATTTCAAATGTTTTAAGCCTCTGTAAAAAAATGATGTACATAACAACTTAAAACAAGAATCTTAATTTCCTATTTAAGAGTACATATAAAGAAATAATTAAACTACAAAAAAGCATAACTATAGGACACAGCCTGCTAGTTAAAATACTCAGAAACTAAAAACTGGTTGATAGTTAGTTCAGATAGCTGATAACTTGTTCCTAGTTCACTTTCAACTCCATGTATTACACCCATGAAGTTAGTCTTTCAAGTCTTACATTCCTAAAATATAGACTGAACTTCACACAAGATTATAAAAAAATATCTTTCCCTGAGTTCTGAATTTCTGGAAACAACTCATCCACATACATATGCAAGAGAGAAAGAATAAACTTTATCTTTTTATACTCTTGCTTCTGAGGGTAGAAAATTTTATCTGTAGGATTACAAGAGTACTGTTTTCATGAGTATGAACCACAGCAGCATTTTTGGCTTTATTTATATCAATGGAAAGCCTTCCATCAAAGGCCAGAATTCATTTTTTTAAAAAAGGTGAGTGATGAAATGTCAGTAAGTTGATTAATCCCTGTTTTAAGTTGCCTAATGCACTCCACAGGTCTTTACCATTCCCAGGGAGAAATCCCTCAGTTTGTGAAATTATCTTGCTTTTGTGCCTCTGAATTCAAAAGCATGACTTCTTCTCACCTGTACTTTCCAGGAAAAACATGGTAGCCTGCCTAGGCTCCTCATTACTGGGACATCCCAAGTTTCAACTCCCCCATACCACTTGGATGGGGATGCTGAAGAGCTGATTGATTAGTTACGTCAGGGGGAACCAGGCTATGCTATCACCTTCCAGACCCAGTGCCTACCACTGGAACCCTACATACCTTGACGGCATGAGAGAACAAGCACTACTCTAACTGCACAGAGAGAGGCAAAAAAACCCCCAAATTACACAGCTGAGTTATTTTAGTTCTAAAGCAGTAGCTCCCACAAACTCCAGGTAAAGAGAGAAAACCAGAGCAGTCAGAAGCCCAGCCATCACTCTCAACCCCAGACTGTGGCTCTAGCAGCCAACACTCTTGAAGCAGGAACACCTCACCTCTCAACACTGGGGACAAGACGGGCACTTAAATCAATCTCCTCTTCCCTCCTTTATGCCTATCGCATGACACCAGCATTTAACAATGTCCTAGGGAATAAACCTCCCCCTGTAGCTAGTTTGTCAGCCCTGCAGCTGAAGCCAGTGAAGACAAAGCAAAACGCTTTGGGTTCAAGTTAGGTTTATGACAATATGGTACATAAAATAACCTGTCCTTTAAATAAAATTTAAATGGCAACACACAAAAGATGGTACTTAAAGTAAACAGAACATAATTTACACTGCTAACAATAAAATTATGACTTATGTTTAATGTCTATTATACTAATTGGAATTAAAACCTTTATAATTATATTATTTATATGTTAGATTATATTATGTTATATTATTTACAGGGTTTTATTTAAGTATTAGGCTATTTATATTAAAATTATAACCTGACACAATCATATGTTTTTACACTGAACTACTAGTTCATTCACTTCACAAGTTAAACATGAAAGTAGACGAAATAAATTCTCAGACCAAGTGTAAAGTTTCCACCCCTGAACTTCCGAGAAGTTGATTTTGTAACCTAAATAATATTATTGCAATGCATTTTACTTGATTGCAATCTATTTTTACACAAATGTATTCCATGTTTCATCAGGTAAAAAAATAAATCTGGCTAAAATAAAGCCAGAGAAGCATGAAACATCCCCTACTGAGGTCATGGGGACTGAATATGAATACTGGAGAGTAGAATTAAACTCTTTAATGATGTCTTATCTCTCCTGTAGTTTGCTTCAATATTTATTTTCTATACAGTTAGCAATCTGATTATGTTACCATTACACAGCCTTTTACATGCAAATACTGCCACTAGGTGATCCTATTACACTTACAAGTAAAAAGAAGCCCATCTGTTCTCCTCTTCACATTTGAAAGTCAGAAACCTTGTGGCTAGAAACCCCTTGAGTCTAATGGTGCTGGCCACATGGCTCCCACTCACACATCCACTAATATTAACAGAAAAACATTTCTTCACTGTGAAGAGAGAAGCATCAGTGGTGAGAAAGAAAGCTTAGGAAAGTTACCAGTGAAAAGAAACAGCCTTATAGCACATGCAAATCCAATGTATACTGGTATCATCCATTTAAACAGACGCCCTCACATCACCAATGTATAATTCATTTGGAAGACTCTTTGTTCCTTCTTCAGTGACTTATTTATGATTCATTACAAGCTTGAGAGTAAGAACAAACAGGTGTGGAAGACATTACACTCAAGAAGATTTTAATACCAGCTTATCCAACTGGAACTTGCATGTTTACTCTCTGTGTATCAGACGATGAAAACCATGATACTACCCTGAGGTTTCAAGCTGCCACTCACCGACTACATCTATACTGCAAGATCACAGTCAGCTTCCATAGCTATAAACAAGTCACAGCAGAAACCCATAGCTGTATCCCAACCTCAGGTAAGACTTGGGCATGCACAATTCCTCAGGTCCCTGGTATATATCAGACATGAAGAAGGGTCCGCAGGCTAGAAGGGAGTTGTTCATACTACAGCTATTCCTGATCTGGATATCTGGGAAATCAGGTCTACACTGATCCCCAAAGTCAAGCACTGCCACTTTTGTATGTAATCCCCTCATTTTAAGAGACATAAATTATGTCTTTATTTAAAAACTTAAAAGGCAGAAAAAGCATGTGCTCAAACTGTGTTTATAAACAGGTCTGAGATACAGCGTACTGCCTTAGGGAAGCTTTCATTGAGAACTGATTACACTTTAGAAAATAGCAGAAGAGAAGATACATAGACATCTGCCCAACTGCTTTTGAACAGATACAATTAATTAAATCAACACATGGAGCCTTTTGGGTCGAACAAGTAATATTTTATCAGAAGGTTCCAACAGTAACATAGGTACTACCTTGATTCTGGATGCTTAGGAATATTGTAGATGGTCCATACATGATAACTAGGGGGAACCCAGAGTTACTACCAACTCTCATCCAGGAAAGTGACTGACAGGTCTTAACGTTTCCTTGGTACTGATAGAATCTTCACTGCACAAGTCTCTGATACCACAACTAAATTCCAGAGTGCATTCTTTCACCTTGTTTCAAAATCAAAGCAGTTTGAAGGTTGTGCAAGTGACACAATGCACATGGCAGTTAGGAACAAAACAAAAAGTCTTTGCTGATGTGAACATTTCATTCCAGTTGTGAAATGTTTGGAAAAAGAAAGTAAAACAAACAAACAAAAAGTTCTTAAAAAAGGAGAGACACAACCCTTGTTTTTCCCCTCAAGGATAAACCAATTCCCAGCATACTTAGTATCTTGACAGACACAGAACAGTTGTATTCCACTGTAGTGTTTTACAAACACATCAAGGACTGTATAGCCAGGCTCTTCCACCCTATGGCTCTACACACACACACAAGGAATCAGAGGGGAGAAGGCTATTGGATAATGGCTAAGCTGGATTCTCTCCAGCCATGCTCAGAAATCAGTTTCCTTATTTCCTTACCCTCTGTTTCCGTAGGCTTCCTGGGCTGGTGGGAGATGGGCTTGGAGACTTCCCAGAGCGGGGAGTAGAAAGCTGGCTACCAGGGGTTCCATTCACTAAGAGGACAAGAAATTGAAAAAAATAAATATAAGGCATTATTAAAGGAACAAAAAAATAAACTTTTTTTTTCATTCTTTGTTGAACAGAATAATTTGCTTTTGCTTAATGTTTCAAGCATTAAATAAAGTAATTCACAAAAGAAATGTTTCCTTACAGTTTTAGTTCATTAAGACAATCTTTATACAGAGTGAAAGCAAATAATCCACAAACCTGAAAAGACTCTAGTCAATGGCAGAGAACATGATCATGTTTTCTTATATTGCATTGTTCCTGTACTTGAAAGTGATGGGGAATGAGGTGCTTTGTTAACCTTAAAAGACACTTGCGATATGTAAACCTTTTCATTCCATTTAGCTATGGTTTGAAGTGCTACTCACTAAAAATAATACAGTGTTTCTTGCAAGAACAAATCAGCTGCTTGCTTTTCCTCACTCATTCATTTAAAGAGATTTTTTGCAATACTATCTGACCCAAACATTACTTAACTTTACCCAGAAGGGCTTTCTAGAGGCAAATAAATTGGATATAACTCCTCCAGTCTGACCTACAGGAAAGCACCACTTGCTCAAATAAGTAAGTTTCTTCATATATCTCAGTGCCTATCTTTTTAGAAGCATCTTCACATGCATATGACATTATCCAGTAAATTAACAAAACAATACCAGCAGAGGACAGAATTCTACTACAAAGTAATCACACAAGCTGCTATCCATAATATTCACACTGAAGCACTGATAGAAACACTACGAAGCATGTATCACATAAACATGTAAATATTCTTAAACAAGCAAGACTGTTATATCACAGTCCACATTTGCAAGCACCAGCATAAAAAGAATTAACAATCAGAATCCAAGATTCTGAATCTTAGGAGAATATTTACATAATTAGGATATCAATAAGGAATTTGACTTACCTTCTATGAGCTCTAACATGGACAAAATCCTAGTGTTTAACCTGATAACAGCAAGCAGCAAAATTCCTGCTCTGTACTAAGCCAAGCTGTAGCCAAACTGAGAAGCAATGGGATTAGTTAAGGATAGCTGGGGCTGCTCACAGAGTGAGCTGAATGCGATGCAGGATTCATAAGCAGAAGCCTTTTCTGCGTAAGGCTGACGTCTTCAGAGCAGCAGTGGGAGGTGCAGGTGCTGTCTTAGGGCTACATCAAAGGTGTCAATTAAGCATAATGCTGCTGCTTCACAACGCTGAGCCACCACAACCCCCACTCGCTTTCCATGGAGCCCCAAAAGCCTAAGCAATTTTATATGCTGTGCACTGAATCATAATGAGGTGCCTTTGGGGGCAATGTACCAAATGACTCATCCAAAAATCAAAATGACAATAACTCTTGTAAAACCTTGGCTGACTGGCAATCTAGCAAATGCTAATTCCTTTGGATAATACAGTAGGCATTTTTAATAGATTCTTCTTACTTTTTACATAACACATTGTTCTCACTGGCTAATACTGGGCCCACACATTATAAGGAAGAAAAATGTATACCTACCACACCACACACATCAATAAAACACATTATGCTGCATGATAAATAATGATCACTTAATAGTGCTTAGGTTCTATGATCCAATCTCAACATCCGTTTGTGCAAGGTATTGTTTAAAATAAAAGTTCAACCTATTTGCATAACCATAGGAACAACAAGATATACTAATTGGATTTAAATAGGCTGCTTTTATAGAAAAGGATTCCACTCATCCAGGTTTCAAATTCTGTTTATACAGAGGACAATGGTTTGCACACATCAGCACTCATTGAAATGCTGTACTAAGTGAGTGGGGGAACATACATGCATATGTGTGTATGTATGTATGTTCATATAGAATTCAGCAAAACTTCCTATAAGTCTGGCTTATAATGACCAAAATCAAATTTATTATCAATACCATTGAAATAATTTAGAAAAAGTGCATAACGAGGACATTAAAAATGAGCTTTCTGGATTCTCAAACTTCTAAAGTTTTAAAAGGCTCCTTATAAATAAATATGGCATTATTTTGAAACTAATATTAAATTACTGCTATTCACACAGAGCTGGTCCTCAAGACTGCTGAGTAACAGGACCACTGCTCTGCCTTCTCTTTAAACCAAGCAGATACTCTCAGCTATTATTATAAGAAAATTTAAGATAACAGATACACTTCAATACCCCTTGTAGCACTGGGTACCAGTTACTGTTTCTTATAGATGGACCCCTTCCCCATAACTTTCAATATTATTTTTTCTTAGAATTACTATGGTAATTATTCTGTCCTGAAGACAAAGACTCAAGGCTACAAAGTGGAACCAGACAAATAGATGCAATGTTGTATCCAAAATACGAAGGCGCTAAGTACCTAAAATGTGTACTATACAAGGACTCCTTATAGAGAGCTGTTTTGAAGATCTACACATGGCAATTAGCACTGGAGATGAATTCCTCTTACCAGCCTTTAGGTACCTATTGTATTGGTTTCTACACCTGCAGGAGTTTTCTAGACCTTACCTTAACCAAGTTGCTGTCGTAACATGAGTTGTATCAAAGTAACCATCTAAACCTGAGCTGATGAACAACGCACTAAGAGAATCCACTGCAGTGCAGACTTCCAAAGCTACACAAGATGAATCCAAACCCACACACCTAGAGATTTAAGATAGGCTGGAAATGAGGCAAAATCATCAAAATTCTCCCCGCCTGTTAATTTTGGTGGATTTTATTCGAAACACAGAACTCCATATATAAACTCTGATGAATGAAGACCATACAGAGTCTAGATTAGGGAAAAGGGACTTAGGTGATGTGGGTTCTATTCCCAACTCTCTGTATGCATCTGCACATGCCACCTCTACCACTTGTCTACTCAGGCTTTAAGTTCTGGCAGAATTAACTCTTGTACTTGTTATGTTTTCTGTCTTCTCAATGCTCTGCATATCTGGAGATATACATTACTATTGCTACTGATACTACTAATGTAATGCTTAAGACTGACATCACAACAGGAAAGAGATGGTAATTTCTAATACTTTCCCAGTACATTCCAGGGGCCCTTCTTTTTTATGTTCTTGTTTATGGCTTCCTGTCCTTGTGAGTCATTATATTGAATTTGCAAATAGAGATGATATTAGGTGTCGTGTAGTAGAAAGAGACTGGAGTGATTCTGACCTCCTTGTTGAACTCCACTCACAAACATTACACCATTCTTATACAAGCTGTTCATGACCAACAAATGCTGTTTGTGCAGTTTGTTGCTGCTCTTGGCAATAAATACATGAATAAAACCTGGTGGAATGGATTTTGGTTGGAAACTGCATTCCTGTCCAGTATCTGCACTGCATTTCTCACTGACTGGTACAGCACGTTACTACAAGGAACCTTGACATGGACAAAGACACTTGAAATTGGTAAATCACTGTTGTGATTAATCATGTTACTGAGGTAAAAAGTTACTTGTCACATTTTATTCATGAAATGGCAGGGGCCAGAGACTTCAGCTTAACACAAAGTACCCTCCCATCATCTCATGAAAAAGATTTATCAGTTTAAAATTCCACAGGTGAAATATGTATTAAAAAGCTAAAACAGTATTAAAATTATTGTGGCTGCTCTGAGTAGATATATGCAGCCACTTAACTGTGAACTCCTTTCCCTACTGTCCTCTCTTGCTGAAGATGTGTAACAGGGCAAGGATCTGCCTTTGTATTTGTTTTTCCTGCACGTGGCACACCTGTGAAGGTAGAAACCCCCATAAAATAGAACACTAAAGCTGGATACCAGGATCTACCGACATAAATGCAAAATAGGCTTTCATATGACAATATTTATAAACTAGTGAAAATGTTGCAAACAAAAAGTACTTTGATGGCATTCTAATAAATAAATTTTGATAGGGCATTTTTTATTATGTAATAAAAACAAAAAGTAAGAAAAACAGAATTAAAGCATCAAGTGCCAGTCTGGGAAGCCACCAATACCACTGCACTGGATAAAAATAATACTTTCCTATAAAATTGCCTGTTGATGTGCTAGCACATTGTACTCTATAAAACATCTAGAGATGACTGTGTTTTAAAAAAGAGGTTTACCAAACACAAAAGTATTTGTGAAGAAGAAAGAGAAGACTAAGGGAAAGGAGGAACATAGGCTTTTTTTTTTTTTTTCAGCCACAACTGATGAATTGGATAAGTTAACCTAAAAATTATTTACAGAAGTCACAATATGTGTAGGTCATATTCAGCAACTGTTAGCTAGAAAATGCTGATGTGAGATCACTAATTGCCACAATTACATCTGTAGGTTTCCATTGTCCTTTCCAAAACATTTTTGTCTCAGTAAGATTATGTATTTATAAAGTAGTTAGGGAATAAACCATACCTTGCCTTTTCACTCCTTCTTCTTTTGTATTCTACTTGTATACATCGTGTAATTTTTGTCTTCACACCAAAAGACAGTGTATAGAGCACCATAGAGGCAAGTGTGCCCTCAGTACAGCTCCCCAGTAAAGACAAGGCATTATAGGTTCTACCCTACCATGCAACTGGTTGAGAAAAAACCCTAAATACTGCATTCATTTTAACTGGTGCTAAACTGTCATTTTTATACTCAATCTTTTACAGAGTTTATGTCAAGAAGTTAAGCAAATAAAAGAACATCTCTCTGCCACTGAAGACAAGGCTTTGCAGACCCACACAGAGCTTTCACCTGATCAACAGATCAAAAAATTAGAAATGTCAAAAGAAAGGATCACCTTCAGGCCAGGTTTACATTCCCCATCCCAGCAGTCACCAATACTTGAGTCCCTGCTAGCCACTAGTACGTGTGGTAGCCACACAATGTAACCCAAGCAGTGCAGAGCTCAGCAGGGACTGTGGCCCCCAAACATGTTCAACCACTACGATATAGCACTTCCACCTCAACCTGAAGTTAGCTATGTCTGCACTACCAAGCAGAAAAGCGCTGCAGACACCCAGATGTTGCAGATGTATCTTATACCTCAGAAGA